ATCGTTTATATCTATTGTATCTGATTGGTGAAAATACTATACAATGGTATATTACTGTGCCTCTCTTCCCAACTTTGAGTTCAGTGACATCACATGGGTGGCTAGAAATTGGGCAGTGTTTACACTGCCTAAATTGGCAAACACTGAGAACCAAGGCTTGATTATTTGTTGATTGTCTAGACTAAAAGGTGATGCAGTTAATGTTGATAATGCAGCTCAAACCTAAAATGCGTAACCATCCCATTATGAGTAACATAAAGAATTGAGGGAAAAGAATCTTCATTAAAGAAATCACTCATATTATTTTAATGAACAAGGAAATTTGCAGCATACACCTTCCGATACTGGGACCCTCACTTCCCAGGGCAGGGTGGCCATGCTTGGCATCGGATAGGCACGTGACCGCCTTCTGGCCAACCAGAGTTGTGGGGCCAGTGATGGTCACGTGATCCGATTCAGGCCAATCAGAGTGAATTCTGAGGCATTTGCTCCAACTCTGGGGCCGTGCGTGCTCTGTTTCCGCTGGGTTGCTAAGCTGCTGGGGCCACCGCAGGGAGAAAAGCAGTCTGAGTGTGAAGCCGACAGAAGAGGGCAGGGCCAAGACTTGGAGGGAGTCCTGATGTCTTTGCTGGAACACCCACATCCCATGGGACTGCACAGAATTTTCCTGGATTTTCCGTTAAGCGAACCAATACATGCTTACACTCTTTCACTGAAGCCTGTCTGAGTTGGGCTATTTGATTCTTGTAACGGAGTCTTTGAATGGCCCGTTCCAGACCCTGAGCTGCAGTTCCAGTCTGGAAGGTACAGACAAGCTAGACCAAGAGAGATGCATAAGGGACCAGGCATCAGGAGATCAGTGTCCTATTCTGGATTTACCCCCTTTTGAGGGCCTGCTCTTGGGACCTCCATTTCCCCATCTGGTGTCTATTCTCAAAGGTGTGCAGAGATAGGCAGAGGTAAATAGAAGTTTCTTGGCCAAAGTGCTCACAGTAATTTTCCTTCCGTCAGGGCATCTGCATTCAACAGAGAGAGCTCCTGGTGGCCGATCGTAGAAGTCATCCTGTAATGGCTCACATCAACAAATGCTTTCTCTCCCACAACTTCCTGGTGTGATACAGAAGTTTGTTGTGACTACTAACCGATGCCATGGGAAGGCTAAGGGGAAAGAGCATGGGGCACGTAGTAAGCCAACCCTGGGTTTTATTTCTGGTTTATGCCACTTACCACCTATGTTGGACAGGATGTTGGACAAGATATTTAGCTTCTCCGAGCCTCAGTTTATTCATCCATCAAATGGGACTTTGAAGATTAATAACAATGCCCAGCATATAGGAGGTGCTCACTAAATGGTAGATGGTATTATGAGAAAGATGTGTGGCTTTCCACCAGATTAGCATGGGTTTTAAAGTTTGACAGTATCAAATGCTCACCTGCTGCTTGGAAAGACCAAAGAGCCTCTAGACGTACCTACAGGATTCTGATTTTTTTTTTTTTTTTTGGACAAGCGAATGAGTTCATGCATTTCTTCTGAAATTAAAAACAATTATTTGTGAAATAAAACTGAGACATACACAAGGTCACAAGGTGGATAAATACTCAAGAAGCTTCCAACTCCTGGCCTGATGCTATCTTCAGAGCATCTCTCTAAAGGGCAATCATGTTTGGCTCCAGCCCAACCTTGCAATTTTTCAGGATGAATTGGAAACTGAGTTTTTTATGTAAAATATCCAGGTTTTTAAAAGATGTGGAAACTCAAGAGCATTATGCTAACTGAAATAGCCAGACACAAATAGACAAATACTGTATGATTCTACTTACATGAAGTACCTTGAGTAGGCAACTTCATAGAGACATGAAACAGAATAGAGGGGGCTTAGAGGAAGAGGGGGATGGGGAGTTATTGTTTGATGGGTAACATGTTTCTGTTTGGGAAGATGAAAAAGTTCTGGATATGGATGCACAGCATTATGAATATTCTCAATGCCACTGAATTGCACACTTAAAAATGGCTAAAATGGGGGCACCTGGGTGGCACAGTTGGTTAAGTGTCTGCCTTCTGCTCAGGTCATGATCCCTGGATAGAGCCCTGAACCCCCAGGGTCCTAGGATAGAGCCCTGCATCAGGCTCCCTGCTCAGCGGGGAGTCTCCTTCTCCCTCTCCCTCTCCCTCTCCCCCACCTCCCACTTGTGCACATGCTCTCTCTCAAATAAATAAATAAAATCTTTTAAAAATGGTTAAAATGATTAATTCTATGTTATGTAGATTTTACTACAGTAAAAATAAATTGTATTAAAATAAAAGAGAGCGGGAAAAAAAATGTGTGGACCAAACAGAAGTCAGAAGACCAGATTTGGCCAGTTTGCAACTCCTGGTTGGTATATCCCTATTTGGAATGCTAACTCTGGCCCGTTTCCCTTTCACCTACCCAAATTCTGCTCATCCTTCAAGGACTGGACCAAATGTCACCCCTTTTCATTCCCCAAGGCTGAAGGTCCAGCGACATTGAGGCCACTCTCCTGCATGGCCGGGGCGAGCTCCTTGAGAGCCACATTCCCCAAGCCGCCACCCCTTCTATCCCATTTTCTTGTCTTCTGGTCCACTTTAGCCCTTTTTATTACTTCGCTGGCCATGTAGGCCTCTGAGATTTCACCCTCCACAGACTGTCCATTCCCTGAGGACAATGATAAGATCTGTTTTCCCGTGTTCTCACACAATTCAGTGCTGTAGCATTATGGTGTGACTGCTCCTTGCCAGACTTGGGGCCAGGGGCCTGGCTACAGAGAGGAGAGACCTAAGGAGCCCCAGTCTTACTTCCTTTGGGGCAGAACTTTGTTGTTTGTTGGTTTAATCCGGGGTGTGTCATCCTGGGCACCACTGACATTTTGACCCTTGTGGTGGGGGCTGTCCTGTGTGTTGGAGGGTGTTTGGCACACCCATGGTCTTCACCAGTAGTAGTTGTGACAACCAAAAATATTTCCAGATCTTTCCAAATGTCCCCTGGGTGCCAAAAAAAACCCCAGTTGAGAACTGGTTTCATTCACAGATTCGTTTACCTACTAAGCGCTTTCTTCAAATGAAGATCCAAGACAAGGGTAGGGGGGATCATAGGCAGGTTGAAAGCTGGATACATTTTTAAAAAATTAACAACATAATTTAGCTATGGTTACCCAGAATTCTAAGTGTTCTTCCTCCCAGTGTTAGATCCCAGCTCTTCTGCTCAAATCTGGACGTCTGAGTGCCGCATAGTTTAAAAAGGGATTGACTTCCCTTACTGGGTGTTTGCTGTCACCTGGTGGTAGTTTTGTTCATTGCAAGCTGGAGGGAGTTCCAATCCAGTTTCACCAAACACCAGCACATCCAAAGGTTAAGACAATTTGACTCGCTTTTCTCAGATGCTGGAAAGCAGTTCTAAGTTCACAGCTGAGCCAGGCCCTTCAGAAAGTAGTTTGGAGTTACCAGGAGATGGTACAAGCAGCAACCTACCAATTTCCTACGGCCTTGGTTTGAACTTGGGGTGCATTGACTTTGCCCCCACTTTTCCTACTAGTAAAGGTCCTGTTTGGCATGTGTTTATAATTTATTATCACGTGCATTCGAATTCATTCTCTGAAGGTCTTTCTGAGAATTTCGTAGTACACTTGCAGATAATTAGACATATTGAGGATGTCATAAAAAGGGGGCATCTTGTATTAAAGCAGGGTTTTCCAAATTCGTCTGAAATTAGAAACTAAGTAGGTCTCGAGTAGGGCCCTCTGGTGACTGTTAGCAGCAAGCAGGTCTGGAAACTTCAGTGTCACGGGTGTCAGAGCTGTTGCTCTGGTGACTCAGCCTGCTGTCTCTCCTCGAGGATGGGGAATACCCCTGAGACTCAGTCTTCAGGTCTGTGCTACCTGCTGTCCATCTGGGCCCAGATAAAATGGTTATTCGGGGCTCAGGCCTGGGCAAAAGCCAAGTTCCACCACTGTTATTATGGATGATATTTAATAGCAATAAGAGCAAAGTTTCAACAGACTTAGGGAATTCAAGAGAGTGAGACTTGGGTCTGTTTTTAGCACAGCAACCAGACTCATTCTGGTACGACACGTCACTGCTCTGTCCCAAACCCCCTAATGATTTGGCATTTCTCTTAGAGTAAAAGCCAAAGTCCTCACATGGGCCCACAAGGCCTTAGGTGACTCTTTCCCATCAGCCCATCAGCTCCATTCGCCCAGTCCTGTTCTACATGTGCATCATGAATGTTCTGTCTCAGGGCCTTTGCACCTCCTGTCCCCCTGTGCCTGGGATGCTCTGTCAGACTGACTCCCCACCCCATCTTCTTCAAGTCTTCTCTCAGCCCCCTCCCCCTTGGAAACCCTCCCCATCCCCTGGCCCAACTTTATGTTTGAGCACCTGTTGTCTCATCTCTCATATTTTTTTTTTTTTGACACTTTATCTATCTCCCCATAACAGAGGGCAGGGACTTCTTTTAATGGAAAAATTCTTGCAGACTGCAGGCCTTTATTGACATGGTGTGTGCATCAGCAATAAGGCAGACAAGGCAGACTTGCAAATGAAAGATCTCTCTCTTTGGAAATAGGGACATTATTTGAAGGAAACCATTTATAAGCCATTATATAGTTATTGTAAAAGATGTCTTATAATCATGGTAAAAATGGTCAATCTTTTTTACATAGTCCATGAAGCAATATGATAATCTCACATCTTGGTTTCATAGGCTTAGATGAGATCTGACCTATACTTCCCCTGCTCAGTACCTTGGGGGTTTATTCTGTCCAAGAAGAAATGGAACAGGGCAGAACAGTTGGGGGGACAGTTGCCCTGTATTTGAGAATACCCACATTGGAGAACGAGTACCAAGAAATGAACCGTGATTGCTGGGCTGGTTCTAACAAAAACGAGTTTAATCCCAGATGCTTCTAGGGCCTGAGGTTCTAGGGTCAGTGTTGGATGCGGTCTCTGAAGGCCTGGTGTCAAGCTCTGTCTCTGTCACTCCTAGGCATGTCACTGTAGGCCAACCCAGTGCCCAGCGCATAGTAGGTGCTCCGTGAGAAGGAAGCTGGAGTTGGCGATGCACTCTTGGAGGCACTGGAGGTGAGAAGGGTAGTTAGAAGACCCTGGGGACTCACAGGGAGTCCCAGGTGAGGCGGGGGGGAAACGGTGAACATGAACCTGTTCTGGGAAGAAAAGGCTGGAAACCAGGAAGTCCTGATGGGGCCTGAGAGAATGCACTGGGTACAACCAGGAGGAGAGGGCTGAGCGAAGGGGACCGTATCTTGGGGTAATAATGATGTTTTAATTTCTTTTTTCTCCCCTCTTTCCTCCCTTCACCTTGATTCCTGAAGTCATATATTTCCTAGTGGTAGAAAATTTGTAAATTATAGAAAAGAACTAAGAAAATCTCACACCCAGAGATGGCCCTTGCTAACATTTGAGTGCCTATCCATGTAGTCTATCTTTGACATTATTATTTTTTTTAAGATTTTATTTATTTATTTGAGAGAGAGAATGAGATAGAGAGAGCATGAGAGGGAAGAAGGTCAGAGGGAGAAGCAGACTCCCTGCTGAGCAACATTATTAATTTTTGATTATACATAATACATGGATATATTCTTCTTGTACAAAATTAAGGCATTACAGATAGGTCTCGTGTCCCCTTAGACAGGCAGCCCCACTCCTGATCCCTTCCCTCCAGGTCTTGCCTCCCAGATGACCACTCCATCAGGGTAATAAATGTCATTCCAGACTGTTCTCTATGTGCATGGAGATGTAGAGACCTATTTTTAGTTGGAAATATACTTTATATTGCAAATTCAGCTTTGTGGCTGCATTTTTTTTTTACTTGACATATGAGTACTTTTTCTATATACTTCTATATGTCCTTGAAGAGAATATATATTGTTTGAACTGTATTGCTCATATTGATGTGCAACTTGCATGATTTAATGATTTAGGGCAAAAGGTTGAGAGTGGAGGCTCTGGAAGTTGATTACATACATTTGAATCTTGTTTCTACCAATTATTAGCTGTGTGAGCTTGGGTGGGTTACTTAACCTCTCTGTGCTTCAACTGCCTCCTTTGTGAAAGAAAGCTTTTAGTAGTTAGTATCTCACTTCCTCAAAGAGTTGTTTTGAGGGCAAATGGGATCATACATATCAACTATTAAAAACAGTCCCTGCCATGTGGGACACTACAAATAAATGTTAGATCTGATAAATTTGTTAATACCTCTGGGACCATCTCATTCTTAAGTGGTAAAATAGCATAATGGCTAAGAGCATGGACTCTGCCACCTTGGCTCAAACCCCAGGATCACCCGTGGGCCAATAAACTTTGGGCGAGTTTCTTAATTTTTCTATTCTTTAATCTATAAAATGGCTTAGTTAAAATCCAAACATTATGGAGTGAGATCAATGTGCCTAAGTATTTAGAAGGTACCTGCCCTTATGTGTCAGCTAGTAAGTTTCTTTTTGTCTGCTACCTAATATTTCAAATAATTATGATAGTAGTTTCAAAAGCCATTTTTCTATTAATGGACACTTAGTCCATTTACCCATCTCCTCTCTCATGCTTGTTTCTCTGCCCAGAAGACAAATTGCTGGAGGGACGCCTGGGTGGTTAAGTCTCTGTCTTCAGCTTGGGTCATGATCCCGGGGTCCTGGGATCGAGCCCCGCATCAGGCTCCCTGCTCAGTGGAGAGCCTGCTTCTCCCTCTGCCACTCCCCCTGCTTGTGTACGCTCGCTCTCTCTCTGTCCAATAAATAAATAAAATCTTTTTTAAAAAGAGGAATTGCTGGGTCACTGGGAATGTACATTTCAATTTCTTAATTGAAAAAAAATTTAAAAATGCATATATAGATTTATTACTTTAAATAGTTGGAATAGTAGTGTCAGCCAGTTTTTTCACTTAACTATATAGTGTGAATAATTTCCAAATATCATTGAATATTTGAAGCATTTTCTTCATCCATCTTTTTATAGCCATTATAGAAAATTGCAAACATACAAAAAGTAGAGAGGATGGTAAAATGAACCTCCAAGTACCCATCCCCCAGCTTCAGTAAATGTCAACATTTTGCCATACTCTGTACAGCACTGTTAATAATGGCTTAATATGCATAATAAGCTTGTGTTGTCATTTATAAGCCCATTCCTTATTGTTGGAAAATTAAGACTTTATTTTGTCACTATGATAATATGATTTAAATGTCTCACATTTAGGGGCGCCTGGGTGGCTCTGTCGGTTAAGCATCTGACTTGGGCTCAAGTCATGATCCCGGGGTCCTGGGATTGAGTCCCACGTCAGGCTCCCTACTCAGCGGGGAGCCTGCTTCTCCTTCTCCCTCTATCCCTCCCCCTGCTTGTGCTCTGTCTCTCTCCCCCTCTCTCAAATAAATAAAATATTTTCTTAAAAAAAGTCTCACATTTAGTGATAGAATACAGGAATGTTTTGCCATTCTGTTTTTGGGTATTGCCCCTCTCCCTGCTTAGCCTAGCGCTAATCTTCTGCCCACCGGTTTCTCAGAGGCAGAGCTGGAGACAAGGATTCTGTGCACGTGACTTCTTGAAGGACAGAGGGAAGCAGAACAGGGAAGGGAAGGGCTGAGCAAGCCTGTGTAATCAGGGACCCTTGAGCGTAGCCTGACCTTTCACACCCGGGTGCTCTGGAGTAAAACTCATACCACCGATTTGTCCTGCTATGGGCAGAGAGGTGAGCTTTTGCTCCCTCACATCTGCCAGACCCTGGCTGCCCAAGGAGTGGGATATAACCTGCCAGGCATCTTAGCGGGGAGGCAGAGGTCATAGGGTCATGTAGGGGAGGGTGACAGCCTGTGTGGGGGTTTGGAACGCCCTAACACCCACATCCTGCATCCCGAGACCCTTGTTGACACTTATTGATGAGTGAGGTTTCATAAGAAGCATCTGTGAGGTTAAAGCCAATCTTCAGAGCTCTTGGATTAAACTGGAAGATTTGGGGTTGGAGAGGCGGGAGGCAGGAAATGAATCTCTCCTCTTTTCATATCTGGCTGCAAAGCCCACAAACGCCCAAGCTCAGGCTGCAGCTAGATATGGAACGAGATGAAAGATTGGGCCACATGATGGCTCAAATGGAATTTAAGACATAAACAAAAAAATCAGTCAAAGAGCTGCAGGAGGCTGCGGGGGGTGGGGGGGCAGAGCGGGAGGCAGAGGGAAGATTATCCTAAGCTTTGGTAGATTTATGGGCCTTTGGAAAAAGCTGGCAGGGGGCAAAGGAGCCTCTGAGAGGGATGGATAGTGAGGTTCTGGGATGAAGCTACTATTTGTCAGGAAGATAGGTACACATAGGAAGGCAGCATGGGACTCTCCTGGCTGCCTCACAAAGTTCAGGTTCGATATGCAGGTTAGGGTAGGCTCTTAAGGGATTAAATATCCTCAGTTTTAGAAGACTGGGGTCTGGCCTTCTGAAGGACACTGGCCTGCTGTCCCTCCTGCTGCAAGAGACCCAGGATGGAGAGGGCAGCAGATACCGCCACTCATATCCTGAGTTGCATCATACCCGCACGTTTCATTTGATTGAGAAGTGGACCGTAAGAATCAAAATCTTTAAAAATCTGGGTCTCCAGGAGCATAGGACCAGTGTTCCTGCATGGCTTCAATGGGACTATCTCAGTAATGGCTGCCCCCTTTAAAGTGTGCATGCCACAGTCCCCACTACTCCCTAGTGCCTCACACCTGCCTGCTTCACTCATTTACAAGGTGTGGGTGGCCCTGCAGGGGGTTGGGGCTTCCCACTCATGATGGCTTCCAGAAGTCTCATCTCAACTCATCTTTTTTTCTTCTCAATCATCGTTTGAGGCTCCATTCCCTACCTCTGGCTATAGCAATTTGTGTGACATCCAGGAAAGCAATGATGGGTGGAGGAACAAGACCAGCATGGAAGGTAAGGATATGAGTCCTGGAACCAGACTTTCTGGGTTCAAATCCTGCATCCAGTACTATAGTGAGCTTGGAAAGTTGCTAAGACTCCCTCCTCCATTCTGGGGTCTCAGTTGTCTTATCTAAAAAATGGGAATAATGAAATGAATAAATACATTTAAAGCTTTTAGCAATGATAAAGGGCTCCATAAATGTTAGATATTACTGTGATTGCTAGTCCCGGACACTGACGTCACTGTGCCTCCAGCCACGCAAGGCCACTCAAAGGACTGTGCTTCCACGGGCCATCTGTTAACAGCTGCTTTAGGCAGGCCACAAAGATGCTCTCCCATCCATGCTCAGCACTGACCATGGGCCTCCACGAAGGGGCCCTGCCTGTTCCCCCAAAGCCCCAGCAGGAGGTACCAGAGTCCCAAGCATGCTTGTGGCACTTCCACAGGAGGGACCCCCGCCAGGGCACTTTGTGCAGTGGGCCCAGGCCCCTCCCCCAATGTGTCCTGCCGCCACTCTGTTGTCCTTTGGATCTCAGGAAGCCACTCCTTTCAGAGCCACACGTCCCTCCCCAGTTCCAACAATCACATCTGTCCTGTCCACCTGCACTAGGATACCCTGAGGTGGAGAATTGATACCACAGCCAATTCCTAGGCCAGGAAATGTCAATTCCCTGAAGCCCATGAATCAGAATCTCTGAGGTCAGGGATGGCAATTCATACACACACACACACACACACACACACACACACACACGGAGTTTTTGAGATAAAATTACATTCACGTTCTGCAAAAGGCACAAATCTTAACTGTGCCGCTTAATGAATTTTGCCAAACGTACCTCCCCGTGTATCCCATACCTCAGTCAAGCAAGACAGAACATGGCCATCCCGCAGCGGTTCTTGTCTTCCCCCTCGTAAGACACTGCCCTCCCCCACCCACTGTCCCGATTTCTATCCCCTATTGGTTTTGTCTGCTTATGAGCTTTAAGTAGATGACATCGTATACTATGTACTTCTTCTGGCTTCTTTTTCTCAGCCCAGTGTTTGAAATTCATCCATATTGTTGCACGTATCACTGGTTGGTTCCTTTTTATTTCTGAGTACCATTCGACTATGTGCATGCACCACCATTTCCTTGTCTGTTCTTTGATAAACACTTGTTTCCAGTTTGGGGCGGTTATGAAGAAAGCTGCTATGAGCATTCTTGTTCAAGGCGTTGTGTGGACACATGCTTGCATCTCTGCTGGGTAGAAATCTAGCAGTGGGATTGCTGGGCCTTTGGTCGAGTCTGACAAACTGGTTTCCAAAGTGGTTGTAGCGTTTTGTACTCTCACCAGCCAAATACGAGAGTTCCAGTTGCTTCCCATTCTTGCCAGCCCTGGGTGTTGTCAGGCTTTTAAATTGTAGCCATTCTAGTGGATGTGAAGTAGTATCTCATTGTGGTTTTAATTTAGAGGTCTCTGATGACTAAGGAGGTTGTCTGGTTGTTGTTTTTTTTTTTTTTTTAAAGATTTTATTTATTTATTTGGCAGAGAGAATGAGAGAGAGAGAGCACATGAGAGGGGGGAGGGTCAGAGGGAGAAGCAGACTCCCTGCCGAGCAGGGGAGCCCAATGCGGGACTCGATCCAGGGACTCCAGGATCATGACCCGAGCCGAAGGCAGTCGCTTAACCAACTGAGCCACCCAGGCGCCCCTGTCTGGTTGTTTTTTAATGTGTTTACTGGCATGTCATAAAGTGCCTATATAAGTCTTTGGACCATTTTTAAAAATGAGTTTGTCTTTTTTATTGTTAGTTTGCAGAAGTTCTTTATTTATTCTGGATATATGTCCTCTGCCATATATATGTATTAGAAAAATGTCCTTTCGGTCTGTGACTCACCTTTTCATTTTCTTAATGGTGTCCTTTTGATGCTCAGAAATTTTAATTGTTGGTGAAAACCAGTTGGTTGTCTTGTTCCTTTTGATTAGGGCTAGTTTTCTGTCTAAGAGTCATTGCCTATTGACCATATTTTTACCAGATAATGGTGCGTTGTCGTGTATTTTTCCCCTGCAGGCACCATTCCTCAATACATGCATACACACACACACACACACACACACACACACACACCTGCCACGTGGAACAAGGAACCCAAAACTTAAGTATCTATGACATGATGGGTCAGAGACAATGGGTTTCCCCCCCCAAATCCATATCCCCTTCTTTTTAGTAATAAGGATTCAATTATCTGGGACACGTGCCTCCACTTAAGACATTTCCCAACCAGGGGTAGCCGATGTGACTAAGTTTTGTCCAATGACTAGTAAATGGAAGTGGATATAAAATTTTAGAGGGGTGCCTGGGTGGCACAGTTGGTTAAGTGTCCAACTCTTGATTTTGGCTCAGGTCATGATCTCAGGGTCCTGGGATTAAGCCCTGCATCGAGCTCCGTGCTCTGCGGGGAGTCTGCTTGAGAATTCTCTCCCTCTCCCTCTGTCCTTCCTTCCTCTCTCTCCTTCCTTCTCTCTCTCTCTCTCCCTCTCAAATAAATAAATAAATCTTTAAAAAACTTCAGAAATGTATTCTTAAAAGCGATGAAATGCCCCTTCAGGTTTCTGTCCTCCTTCCTGCTGGCTGGAACCTGGGCATGAGCCGGAGCTTAAGCAACCATTTTGGGCAGTGAGGCAGGATGCTAAGGATGCTGGAGCCAGAATGTAGAAGGAGCCTGGGTCGTTGATGATTTAAGAGCCACCATCTTATCTGCATGGCCTCTCTTCAGACTTCTCTTATGTGACAGAGAAATGATGTCTCATCTTGCTCAAGCCAATAGGTGCTAGTGTTGTTATCATTATTATTTTTGTTTTTTTTTATGCAGTTGAATCAAATACTAACACTTGGCTGCTTTCCTGGTTGGGAGAGGAGGAAAGTCAACTTTTCATTCTTTGGTTAGTGGATGCGACCAAAAAAAAAGGCAACACAAAGCCAAACCAAAACCAAAACCAAACACCAAGTAGCTTCTCTGGAACATTCCTATAGCCTTTGCAAGTTTCCTCTTGGAGTCTCATTGCACCCTGCCAGGTGGGTTGGACCCGGATGAGCATTACTGACTCCCCCTGACACATGACGGGGGCTGAGATTCAGAAGGCAAAATGTCTTGCCCCCTGTCCCAAACAGGCCACAGGTAGAATTTGGGTCCCCTGACTTTTTCCCCAGGGCATCACAAGAATACCTGGGAACAATAATGGTGCAATAAGGCCTGTAAATGAAGTGTCTCAGAGGGTAAAGGTGAAACCCTGCTCCCCCATTCACAGTGGGGTGTGCCAGGGCCAGGACTGGGGAGAGGCAAGGAGGTGCCTGCCTGCTGTCCCCACATTGGCATGACCCCCATTGCCTCTCTAGCCTCACTTGAGACCCTGCTGTGGGGTGCGCTGCTCGACTTCTCTAAACAGCAGACCCTCACGGCCGAAAATTAGTTCTAAAAAGAAAATGGTATCATGGCAAGACCCAGGGCTGCAGCATTAGACTAGCCTGGGTTCAAATCCTTTTTTGGTTCCTTATTTATGTGACCTTGGGCAACTTCTTCCACTCAGCCTCCTTTCCTCCTCTGAAACATGGGATGCTTTGAAATGGTTCTTGGCAGGATTAAATTAAACAGCATAAATAAAGTTTTTGGCATATGGAGTTCCTTTCCCTTAACTTTCCCTTTATTATAATAGGGTTCTCCAGTGTTCCTTGTCCCTGAGAAGTGAGAAACTGTTAATTCAATATATTCTAATTATGCACCCTTCTGGGTGTAAAGTATGGTGCTAAGATTATTCACTAGCTGGAGATAAAGCAAACCCGATCCAGCAATCCAGGAAGGAGCAGCTCTGGTTGCTCAAACACCCATGCTCCCGGCTTGCTGAATGGAAGGCAGGGAGCAAAGAGTCTTCTTTGCCAAAATAAATGGCAATAGATCCTCCCTAAATGTTGCCAGCTGGTGAAATGCACCAATGGGCTAAGTCAAGCCCATTCACACTCACAACACAGAAATTATTCCTGTTCTCAGGTTCTTTTCTTTCTTTCATTCATTTGACACATTTATTAAGTGCTCATTCTGTACAAGGCCTTGCATTGAAATGAACATATTTTAATTTTATTTGCAGTAATACATTTCAGGAAAAAAAAAAACAACCCAGAGAAGTTGCTTCTTGCCAGGATAGATATTACTAAAACACCAAAGAAATTGACAATTTTAAAAATCAGGACCAGGGCGTTTGGGTGGCTCAGTTGGTTAAGTGTCCAACTCTTGATTTCTGCTCAGGTCATGATCTCAGGATTGTGGAATCAAGCCCCCTGTTGGGCTCCATGCTCCACGGAGTCTGCTTGAGCTTCTCTCTCCCTTTCCCTCTGTTCCTCCTCCCAGTCCTGCTCTCTCTCTCTCTCTCTCTCTCTCTCTCAAATAAATAAATAAAATCTTAAAAAAATAACTAAAAATAAAAATCTGGACCATATTGGATAACAACTCTCCCTTTCAGATCTTCCAGTTTAAGCATGAAACTAAAGACCAGACTTCTCCTAATACAAAATCAAATGCATCACAAAAATGAAATTTCTGTGAAGATGCTTATGGATCAAAAAAGCAAACATATTTTTCCAGGAAAAAAATTATTAGCCAGATGGATAAATAAAGCTTTGTTTTCACCCGAGTGCCTCCTTTCTTGACTTTTTAAGGATGATTTTTAATCTTCTAGTCTAAAATGAGACATCTAAGACAGCCATCAGCCAGGGGCTGCAGCTGGCTGAGTATGCATATGATGGTTTTCACAAAGGTAAACTCTGGCGTTGGTTCACTGAAGTCTGAGCTCTGCTGGGTGGCCAGGATTTAGCAGTCTTATCTCTCAGGGCAAGACAAGGTTTGGCCACACCGCAGTTTCAGGAAATGCCTCCAGTGTCCAAGAATGTTACAGCACCGCTGAAGTGGCTGACCACCAAGACCACATATACAAGCTGGCCCTGCCATACTATGCCACACACGCCACTGTCAGCCCCCATTCGGGTCAGATGCTGGGGATGCCAATTCTATTTGAGAGATTCAGGCTCTGCCTTCAAGCAGAGTTGATAACGTGGTGGGGGGCGGGTGCCTGGAGCCTTCATTTTGAGAGTCCCCTGGCAGGTAGGTCATGTGGGATCCTTCTCAATGAACGTTATCCACCGGAGCCCCCTGGTGGACACAAAGCTGCCGGTGTCCTGCAGGGATTCAATTCTGGGGAAAGTTTGGGACAATTGCAATGTCCTGGTATGCCCGCCACCGAGCTAGGTATGCAGCTTTGTGTCCTGGTGCGTCAGGGAGCCTCTACTCAGTTCTAGAGTATTGTGGCAATGGGCCTCACCAGAAATAAGAACAGTTAACACTTACGGAGCACCTACTATGTGCAAGACTCTGCTCTAAACCTTTAACATGTATTAACTACTTTAAGCCTTAGAACAACCCTTCATGGTAGATTTTTATTCTCCCCGCAAGAATACCCACAATGCGAAACAGGTAATCCCCCCAAAATAAGCTGCGGTGTCCTTGGGGAGGGAGAACGAGTGGTGGAAAGCCCCAAAACCACCCACGTCCACTATTGTTCGCCACGTTTGTTTGCCGATCTTAATTTTCTCCTGAGTTTGCAGGGAAGGATGAAGTCCTCTGCTTTCTAAGAGTGGTAATAGCTAGAAGTCTGCTTCTGTTTCCTACTTTCATTCTTGGAGACACTTTTCTTTTGTCATTTAAGTCCCCCCCCAGCTGCAAACACATCTAATAATCAACCACAACAGAGCCCCTGACAGATGGGCCGTGAAACAGATGGCTGCATTGAAAGGCAGCAATCGAAAACGGAGGGTAATTTGAACCAATCAAGAAGATGGGGTCTCTTGGAGGCAAAGTTTCTGCAGAAACTGAAACCATATCCCTCAAGCTCCTTTGGTACTATTTTTCACCCGCAGATGAGCCTTCCTGGGGGTGGATCCAACTTTTTTTTTTTTTAAACATCTGGAATGTTGAAAAGGAAGAGAGAGAAGCCCTGGGGCCTTGTCAATCAAATTCACTTTTCTTTTGGCAAATGCAGCATCAGTGACAAACTGCACAATTTGACATAAACAAAGTTGATAGATGTCGGCAAAGCTGTTTTAAAACAGCAGAAATGCAGAGATGTGTAGGATGGGGTTTTTTTCACTCAACAATCAGTATGTTTAATAACAAATAAAACAACCAGATTTTAATAAATCCTACCACCTTCACGACATCATCTGATAGTTAGCTGCTGCTAGTTAATGAGAATGTGGTATTGATTCTGATCCCAATCCACTGGATAGCTCTTATTGTTATAGTTCATGAGGGCTTCTAAGCTCACCTCTGAGGCCTTCTTGGACTAGGAAACACTGGCCTTGACATCCCAAGACTAGAGAGTATAGGCCCTGGTCTGCCACTATTTCCCTATGTAACCTTGGGTAAGTCATTTAATCCTCCCGGAGTTTAGGTTCCCCACAGAATACATGATGATGATCAGCCCTGCTCTGCTCAACACAAGGTTCAAGTGCAATATTAGATGTGAATCACTTTTTCTTTAATTTGAAGTGTATTGATCTTTTTATTTAGAAATAATTTCATCTAGTAAAGTGCACAAATCTTAAAAACTCATCTGCAGTGCATAGTGAGAAGCTTCCCTTATAAGCTTTTAATGACCTGTAAAGAATATTGCTGATCACTCAGCCACAGTTCCAGAAGCTTTATGTAATTTGCTGCCACCCACTAAGAACCCATCTCTGGCAATGAAGTTCAGGATAGGGGGCAATCATGGCGCTGGATTTTGTCTGTCATTTAAGAAATTTTTCTTGCTTTCCTTCCCAGCACCACATGCTGGGGATTGTGGGGAAGATCAAAGAAATAAAACAAGGTTCCAGACTGCAAACAGTTGGAGGAGGGGAAGTGTTATGAATTCTGGATAGCAAAACATTTAACATTCCACAGCGCAGAGAATATTTCACTTTATTTCTTTTTTTATTGTAGCGTAATGAATAATATATGTGTGGTAAAGTGCACAAATCTTAAATGTGCAGCTCAATGAATTTTTAAAAAGTGAACACATCCAGGCACTCAGCACCCAGATTAAGAAACAGAACATCAGGGCGCCTGGGTGGCTCAGTTGGTTAAGCGACTGCCTTCGGCTCAGGTCATGATCCTGGAGTCCTGGGATCGAATCCCGCATCGGGCTCCCTGCTCGGCAGGGAGTCTGCTTCTCCCTCTGACCCTCCTCCCTCTCATGCTCTCTGTCTCTCATTCTCTCTCTCTCAAAATAAATAAATAAAATCTTTAAAAAAAAAAAACAAAACAGAACATTAACAGACCTCAGAAGATTCTCTCATTTCCCTTCCCAGTCAACAGCCCTTCCGCCCTTCAAAATCACTGCTATTCTGACATCTGTCACCATAAGTTAGCTTTGCCTGATTTGAACTTTATATCAACGGAGTCCTGCTTTAGGGTCTGGCTTCTTTCGCCTACCATTATATCTGTGAGATTCATTCATGTTGTTGTTTGTGGGTGTGGTTCATTCTCTTAGTTACTGCAGTATTTCGTTATATGCCCACACCATAATTTATTTATCCATTCTTCCATTAATGGACATTTGGGTTGTTTCCACTTTTGGGTTAGGATGCTATGGATGTTGTCATATGTGGTTTTTGGTGAAAATACGTACAATTTATGCATATGTAGAATTGCTGGGTCATAGAGTACGTGTATATTTAGCTTTCACACATTTTGCCAGTTTTCCACAGTGGTTGTCCCTATTTCCAAACCCCCTCCCCCGCCCCGCAGCAGTATACGATGGTCCAAGTTGCTCCACATCCTTTCAAAAAATTTTACTCTTCTGTTGAAATACACATAACATGACATATACCATCTTAACTATTTTCAAGTGTACAGTTCAGGGATATTAAAGATTTTCGTAATGTGCAACCATCACTACCATCCATTTCCATAACTCTTTATTTTGTAAAACTAAAACTAAACTCATTAAACAAAAACCCACTATTCCCTTTCCCCCTGCCCCAGCCCCTGGCAACCACCACCCTACTTTCTGTCTGTATAATTTTGGCTACTCTAAGTACTCTATAAATAGAATCATAGTATTAATGTTTTTATGACTGGCTTATTTCACTTAGTATGTCCTCAAGTTTTATCCATGTTGTAAGATATGTTAGAATTTTCTTCCTTTTTAAGGCTGAATAATACTCCATTGTATGTATTTATCACATCATCTTTTCATTGTCGATGGACACTTGGGTTGCTTCCCTGTTTTGGCTCTTGTGAATCATGCTGCTATGAACAGGGGTGTACACATACCTCTTTGAGACCTTCAATTCTTTTGGGTATATACCCAGAGGTGGACTTGCTGGATCATATGGAAATTCTATTTTTAATTTTTTTTTTTAAAAGATTTTATTTATTTATTTGACAGAAAGAGACACAGTGAGAGAGGGAACACAAGCAGGGGGAGTGGGAGAGAGAGAAGCAGGCTTCCCGCGGAGCAGGGAGCCCGATGCGGGGCTCGATCCCAGGACCCTGGGATCATGACCTGAGCCGAAGGCAGACGCTTAACGACTGAGCCACCCAGGTGCCCCTATTTTTAATTTTTTAGGAACCTCCATACTCTTTTCCAAAGAGGCTGTACCATTTTACATTCCTATTCTTTGCACACCAAGCTTGTTTACCTATGGAGCCTTCTTCACTCTTGTTCCTCTGCTTGGAATGCTTTGCAGCCAGAACTTTGCAGGACTGACCCTTTCTCATCATTGTATTTCAGCTCAGCACCTCTTCAGAGAGGCCTTGGGGCCACAAAGGCATTCTCTCTCCCATTATCCTGCTTTTTTGTCATAGTCCTCTTTACAAACTGGCAGTTACTTATTACAGTCTGTTTCTCCCACCGGCTTGACAACTCCATTAGGGCAGCGATCTTGTCTGTCGCGGTCGCCACTGTGCCCCCAGCGCCTCGAAGAGTACCTGGCACTAGGATGGCGATCGGTAAAGGGTAAGAAATCCACCCGAGGGATTGTGCACTCGCTTTTTCCGGGCTGAGCCAACTCTAACCACTAGGGAAGGGTGAGGGCGGTGGCCCCGGGCGTGGGGGGCGTAGCAGCTCAGCCGGAGGCCCCGCCCCTAGCCCCGCCCTGTCCTTGTTCTCCTCCGCGGGTCTCTATAAAGTTTATTTGGCTGCGCGCCGCGCGAGGGCTTCTGGGAGGGCCGGCCTCGGCCAATCAGGAAGCGCGGGCGAGCGGCGCGAGAAGCGGTGGCCGCGTTCTCCCTCCGGGACCCGAGCGGCTGAGAAGGCTGCAGTGTCGGGTAAGGGTGTCTCTGCCCATGTCCTTCCCACTTGGGGAGTTGTCCTTGAACCCGGGGCTCCGAGGCTGGGCGGAGCCCGGTCCCCACGCTCGGAGCCACGCCGCTCTCACTGCCCGTTCGCCTCATGGCAGCCGAGCACGCCTGACGCCGGCGACTCAGCGCCTTGTCGAACCGTCCCCCATTATAGCGTCGGGCAGCGCCCTGGGAGTGCCTTCTATCTGCTCTCTTTCTGAACATGGAGGTTTGGCCCCCTGATTCCCCTCTTCCCCCCAACTACGGCGCTCTGCCGCGGCGCGCCACGCCCCCGCCCCCACCCCCACCCAGTGCCCTGTGAGCCCACCCTGAGCTGGGATCAGCGCCCCTCCCCGCCACAGCCCCTCCGCCTGCTCGCTCGTCTCCTGCGGACGTACCCTGCCCTCCGAGGGCGGGGGTCTTTCGGGCCAGGGTGACGACCCTCTTAGCCTCTCCCAACCCTTGGTCTGTCTCTTGACCGGCATCAGGGGAATGCTGCTCCCTTTCTAGGGACATGCTGGAGATTAGAACCTGGAGGTGGCCTGCACTTTCTTGGGTCTCACAACACCTCATCCTCTGCAAGGGCAATGCCTGAGTTTACTGGGTCTCTTTAAAAAAATTAGGGGGCTGACCCCAGGAATTTTCGGTCAGAGTTTGGACCAACCATTCACAGAGCCGCTGGTACTGGTTTGCCCCTGTCACTTGTTTTGGCCGAAATGCCTTTTAGCATGAGCAAGGGTCACTTTTGTATTCTGTCTGCGGAACGTGAGAGGGTGTCCTTGGACGTCGTAGCTTTTCTTTCTTTCATCTGTTCTTCGTGCATTTCTTTTTGGGACATTTTGATTTTTCATTTATGGTGAATTGTTATTTCAAAGCTCATAGTTTTAAATACGTATATGTTAGGCTATCAGATCCCATATTTGTATCTCCAGCGGGGGCCTCTCCCTCGACCAATACCCAGCTGCCTCTTTTCTTTCTCAACCGAGATGGTTGATAGGGAACTCAGACTGAACATGTCAAGATAGGCCTAGCAAGCTTCCCATCATCTCCCCTCCCAAACTGCTCTTCTTGCTGTTTTTTTCTGAGTAACATAAAAGGCTCTAGCCAGTAACCTTTGAGTCACCTTTGACTGCTCTCTTTCTTTCTCACTCCACATCCAGTGCTTGCCACCCTGGGCCAAGTCACCACCACCTCTCACCTGGATTATTGAAATAGTCTCTCATCTGATCTCCCTACTTCTGCCCTTGCATTCATGCCCTATTTTAGCATGGCAGCTGGAAAGATCCTTTTGAAACAGGTCAGATCGTATCACTCCTTTATGTAAAAACCCTACAATGGATTTCTATCTCATTTAAAGACAAATGCCTTATATTGAGCCATAAGACTTTAAATAACCTGACCCACTGTTACTTTCCCACTCTCATTTTCTGCTACCCTCCTCTTCCACGTGTCAGACATGCTTTGGCCTCAGGGCTTTTGTGCTTGCAGTTCAATAATCTTGTGGTTTGCTCCCTCACTTTTTTTCAGTTTTTTACTCAGGGGTCACCTAGTGAGGCTTTCCCCAGTTCCTATTTTCCTTTACTGCTTTAGTAGTTGTTCTTAGCAATTATATTTTCGTTATTTACCTTGTGTATTGTTTGTTGTTCCCTTCCAGAATGTGAAGTGGGGAGGATTTTTCTCTATTTTGTTCCTTGGTGGATCTTCAGCACCTAGGCCTGGCACACAGTAGGTGCTCAATAAATATGAAATAAAGGAATGCTCTGGCACTGTTACAGGCTTGGGAATACAGTGGTTAATGAAACAGGCCTGCCCTCATTGAAGTGATGTTCCTATAGAGAATGCCACCAACAATAAACACACAGATATAGAGTGTAGTGTCAGGGCTGTTTTTTAAAGGAGGACAAGGATATCTGAACAGAGACCTGATTGAAATGAGAGAGCAAGTTATGGGAATGTCTGGTGGGAGAGCATTCCTGGAATGGGAAGAGCAAGTGCAAAGACCCTAAGGTGGGAACAGTTGGAGAAGTGGTGAGCTTGAGTGTCTGAATCTGCTGCTTGATGGACTGAAGTAGAAAATAAGGTAGAGGAAATACAGATGTTCCAAGGAGAGAGAGAGGTCAGCAAAGACCCAGAGGTGAGAGCCCAAGGTGTATTCAGGGGACAAGCCACTTTAACTCATCAGACATTTATTTGGTACCTACTGAATGCCAAACTTGGCTGCTGAGGATTCAGCTCAGTCAGCTGAGCAGTCTGCCCTACAGGAATTTGCCATGTAGAGAAGTAGACAGACGTGGGAAGAAATAATTACAACTATTTCACCAGAGAAGAACAGTAATGAAGGTTCAGAATAGTATAGGAGGGGCTTGGGGTGAGGAGGACTGCCCTAGCGGACTTTTCAGGATATATAGGAGTTCCCTATGTGACAGTGTAGGTTTGGGGTATGTGATAGCAGAGTGTGCAGCTACATGTGCAGGAATATGAAGGGAGGAAAGAGCATGAAGCACCCCCAGGAGTAGAGACTTACTAGGGTATCTTTGGGGGAGGGTCGTGAGAAATGTGGATGGTAAGCGTGACAGTGCCAGATCACAAGCACTTCCTCCTGGAGGGGACAGAAGGTGTCCCTGGTTGGATTAAGGCAGGGAAGCATTTCAAAAAGAATTCTTGCCAAGGGGAGGGTGAGTTACAGGAATGCAAAGGCTTAGACTACTGAGGTAGTTAGGTGAAAAGCATGAGGGTCAGAGAGGGGGCAAGAGAGATGAGGATTCCTTTTTGCAGAAGGTTTGAGAGGTAGACATGGAGATTGGCTGGATGTTCAGGAGCGGAGGAAGGGGACCCTGAAGTGACTCCCAGGTGGTCTCTGGCTGACTTGCTGGATGCTAGTAGTTTTACTGAGAGACTGGGAATGCAGGAGGAGGAAGTGGTGGTATTGGTGGCTAAGAGGAGAGAGAAATGATGAGTTTGGTTTGGGACACATGTGGTTTGAGACACCCCTGGGCCATCCAGGTGCAGCTGTCGGGGACAGTTGGAGATACTAGCTCAGGTGAGAGAGCTGGCCTGGACATAGAATAGTTTCCACCAAACCTTAGTTTTGATAAATTGGCGTTCTCCTCTGGGCCCAGACAGTCCTCAGAGGTGTTTGGGTGGCCCTTCAGTCCTGTGAGCCTCCTGACAGTGTATCTTTAAGAATGTGTGTGTGGTTCTTTTGTGTGCACATGTGTACACGAACATTAGATTCGCAGGGGTCCGTGGCCATCCGAAAGATTAATAACCACTGGTAGGGGTTCTAGTTGAAGCCACGGCCAGTGGTGGATCTTATCCAGAGAAATATGCAGCTTGAGAAGAGGAGGTCCAAGGATAGAAGCTTGGCATTTAAGGGAAGGGTGGATGTCGAAGCCACAGCAGAGGAGGCTTGAGAGAGGGAAGAGCTGGAAAAGCAGGAGGAGAACCAGGAAAAGGTGGTGTCAAGTCAGAGGAGAAGAGTGTTTCAGGAAGAAAGGAATGGTCAGAGTATAAGAGGCTGTGAGAGAGAAAGGGTTGAAAGTCCATCGGACTTAGCAGTTAGGTCATTGGTGGCTGCAGAGGAATTCTGGAAGTAGGAGGGGGGCAAAAGCAGAAATTAGGTTGTAGTGGGTGATGAATGGATGAGGTGTGACAAAGGATGGCTGTCTCTTTGTAGAAAGAGCAGGAGCTAGAGGAGCATGTGGGTTTGAGGATTTTTTAAAAAATTATTTATTTATTTATTTAATTTATTTTTAAAGCTCTTCCTATTTATTTGAGAGAGAGAGCGAGAGAGAGCACGAGTCGGGGGCGGGGGGGAGAGGGAGAAGCAGACTCCCTGCCGAGCAGGGAGCCCGATTCTGGACTCAATCCCAGGACCCTGGGACCATGACCTGAGCCGAAGGCAGACGCTTAACTGACTGAGCCACCCAGGCACCCCGGATTTTTTTAATAAGCTTTTAATTTTAGAATAGTTTTAGATTTACAGAAAATATGCAAGATTAGTACAGAGTACTCTGTACCCCTGACCCAGTTTCCCCTATTGATGAGGAATTATTTTAGGAAAGAAGAGACCTGAACTCTAGGAGAAGGAACCAAAGACAGTGAAAATAAGGACAACCATCACTTCCTGAGTTCTGGCTGTGTGTGAGTCCCTGCCTTGGGCTTTGCTTGTATAATCTAATGTCAGCGTCATAATAGCCCTCTGATGTCTAAATCTACTCCCTTCCCTATCTTCCTCATTTCAGTAAGTGGCACCTTCATGCTCCCAAGTTACTTGGGCCTAAAACCTTGGCATTGTGTTTGACTTCTTCACTCTCACACTCTACATAAGTGATTTATATCTACACGGAATCTATTTTAAAATGTATACATGAGTCAGACCTACTATTTGTCTCTTCCACCGCTATCATCCTGGTCCACATCACTCTTATGTATTACATCTGGGTGATAGAGCAGCCTCCTGACTGGTCTCCCTGGTTTTACTTTGTGCCCTTCTTACCCCCCGTCTGTTCTCCATGCAGAAGTGGGAAGGAGCCTTTAAAAAGCTTAACCCTTCTGTAGCTCCCATCACACATAGATTACAATCCACCGTTATTACCTTGTGCTGTGAAGTCAGTACCATCTAGGCCCTGCCCTAGCCCCTTCTCCCACCACTCTACCCTGTGACTCTGTGCTTCAGCCATGTGGCCTCCTGCTCTTCTTCACATATGCTAAAGATGATTCTGCATTGAAGCTTTTGTATTCACTGTACTTTGCAAGAACGTTCTTCTCCTCAGATTATCAGTATAGTTCATTCCCTTACATGATTTAGGCCTTTGTTCAATGGTTTCCTTTTTATTTTTACTTAAAAAAAAATTTTTTTAAAGATTTTATTTATTTGACAGAGAACATGCACAAGCAGGGGGAGTGGCAGGGAGAGGGAGAAGCAGGCTCCCCACTGAGCAGAGAGCCTGACATGGGGCTCAATCCTAGGACCCTAGGATCATGAC